CGACGAATACCTGGACCCGTTTGCGCCGCTGTACACCGACCCGGTTTGGCCTCCGTACGGGAAGAGAGAGCACGCATTGGTCACGTCGGAGCTCGGTTGGGTGGAGGATATGAAATAGCGATCAGTGCCCAGCTCGTCGATGTTGTAACGGCGGGCGCTGGACAGCTCATCATCTCCAACGACCACCGGAGAACTTTTCCGCGCGTCCGGTGCGGCGGATGCCGCTGCTTTATTCCCGGTGAAGCTCTCGCTGTCAGCATCATCCATCAGCGCGCTCCCACCGCTCAAAAACTTCTTGGCCACGGAGCTCTGCTCCGCTTCAGTCCGGTCCATGTCCTGAAAGTCTATCTGCGTTGACCCCGGGCTGTTGTTGGTGCTCTCTGAGGACGACGACAGGTTATAGAAGGTCTTGGGTAAGTTTACAGATGCGCCAGGGAGGATGCTTTCTAACTGCATTCTTCAATGTACTGATGAGGATCAATCAAAAGCAGGTGGAGATCAATAAGAAGATCACACCAGGACGCGGATCCGTGCGCCCCGCAGCTTGACCTCTGAAGCGGCACCGCCGGACTTTCTACTGTAATCTGTGAGTGACAGAGTTGTTTGAGAGAGTTTATATATGATCCAGCTCGAGGGGGCGGGGCTTTGGCAATTCGTGGCTTCTGACAGTTTTCTCATTGGCTCGGAGGCCTTCGTTTTAACTACACCATTTAAAGCGAATACATTTTTTTTGTACTCCTTTATATTTTAGGGCTTCTATTTTTATTGACTTAAAATGTATCCTTGGTATTATTAGGCTAGGCTATTCCAAACCACGTCTTTCATATAGGCTGCATTTAATCTGGAATATTAACCATACTTGTAGTTTTTGACTTAAACTTTCCTCACAGAAGCCTACATTTCAAAATTCGTTTCCAGCCAATTAATGAGTGTTAATTTGAGACTGACATTGAACCCACAGAGGAACTTGACACCGTTTTAGAAGCACCGAAAACAAAACAATTAACGAGTCCTCCAGGCTGACCTGAGAACGGGTTTATCTAAATACACTGGAGCTCGACTGAACTTGGCAACCCAAATAATTAACAAACGATTAACGAGGAAACCAAACTCACCACCGACTGTCAGGCAGCACCGCCATGCCTTGAGTTTCTCTTGTAGCGGGGGTTAAAGTTGAACCCTCTCAGGCTCACTGTGTTTGGGGTAAATCGTGCACAGACGCTTTTCTCTTCTTTTCAGCGCAAAAAAAACTGATATTAGCGATAAGTTCTCTCTGCTGCTGACAACGGAACGCACAAGTAGCCTGAACATTCAGTGAGATTTTAACGTGAAATTGCCCAAAGCATTTCCTCTATTGAAACGTGTTGTGCATTTACATATTTACGTGCCTAATCTACGTGTTCTGATGTGCATGTCTACAGTGAACTCTTGTGTCAGCGTCTACATGATACGGACGAAACACCGCAGGAGAGTGTTTTCGGCGTGCGCGAGGTGAGTGTGAGGCACGCGACACCTGAGGGGTTAAAAAAA